TATCAAAATTACTTCTTGCGATAATTTATGGACAGTCTTTATATATATAACATCCAGTATGGCTCAGTAAGAATAAGGATACCCCTCTAAAATTTTTTTGTTACCCACGATACGTTTAATATTTTTTTATATAAATTTAATTATTTGGACGACGTGAATCTTTGGGTACTTTAATTACATATTTTTCAAATATATAATTTGAATAAAAGTTAAGTTCCTGTTTTAAGAGATTCATAATTACTAAAATTCTAGCTAACATTTAAGCACAACACTATTTTCGTACTACAAAATCGATAGATTTTATTTTATCTATTTAAAAACTGGAAAACAATTGTCTTGAAATTTACTAAATGCTTCACAATAATAGTTGTTTACATTTTTTCCGTAGGACAAGTCTGCCGCGTGTATACGTGGTGCGCATCAGCAAGTTAAGCGCTGTTGTCCCGTTGCCGTTGTGATGAAACTCCCCAATATTAATACTCGCTGTATTTTGAAAAATGTTAATCTTACGCCCCTGTAATATACAACTTTTTTGTTCATTTATGATTACTCCATCTCATGCTGAAGTAATGGCAGTCAAACTTCTTACACCCTTTATATTCTGCATTATAAATTAATGAAATTTGGAATATAGGGTTTTAAGTGATGCTGATTAAGGCTCCATAGACAGATTTTCAATAAAAATGTAATTTTCATAAAAACCTCGTCTAAAACAATCACAGCAGGTTAAGGATTGTCCACTGTAGCTAGTTCACTAAGTACATCTAAAAGAGTGCTATGCATATGAAAAAACTGATTCGAATGACGCGTTCCAAAAAATGCTTTTCAAAAAAATGTATAGCCCGTTTTTAGTGAGCCATATTCCCATATTCTACATATCCAAAATTGATAACGCAAAATTTTGAAATAAATTTTTGAGTTGTGGTACTTAATCACAACCTACTTAGGTACTTTATATAAAATTACTTGTAATAAAATTATAATGACGAAACTAGTAAATGATAAAGTAAATTCATAAAATAATTATTTAACTGTGGTTTCTTCTTCATTTTCTAGGTCAGTCAATCGGGTAAACGTTATTTTTCAGACAGAACTGGATTATAATAAAATAGTTAGTAATTATAAAAATCTCTATTGGGTGTTGGATCAGGTCATGCTTTCTCTGGCTTACTCAATATTGACAAATAACATTATCTGGCACGTTTAACAGTAACTTAAACCTGAGTTCAGTGCTACAATAGCTAATAATTTAAGTAAGGAGATTATATTTCGAGAGTAAATAGATCCAAACATAACAGCAACAAAATTTGCATTCCAATACAATGATCTCGGCAAAATATTTACATTCAGATACAGTTTGACTTAAATCTACAAGAAATATAGTTACTTAAGTATTCATCAATTTCAGTATGGGATGGTACGTACAAGAGATAACTGCAAACAAATTAAAATTTCATAATTGGTCCTTATGTATACATAGAGCTTTTTCAAGTATAAGCAACGTACAAAGATGGCCTTAAAATGAAATTTTGAATATTTTCTAAAAATTGTAGTATAATTCTTCACAAGTATTACGTATTACTCTGATTTATATATTTATAGCTGGCCAATATTTGTATTTATTATTTTTATTTATATGTATGTACTCTAAACAAGAGTCACACCATGTAGTATGTTCATCTTTAATTTCCACTGATTATCAAATTATAAGCAGAAATATATTATAAAGAACAAATGTTTTATTATATGCCAGTAAGACAAAGTAAATTTTATTAATTGTGCAATAAAAATCAATAACTAAATATCTCAGCGATTAGAAATCGTACTTGGGATATTTACGTAATTAATATATGTATATTTAAAATTTTCTTATATCAAATATAGTTTCATTGTATATTTCAACTCAATTTATCTTCACAAAAATAGTAATGAAACTTTTGATTCTTTACCGTCTTATCAATGTGAGATTTAAATAGAAATGTAATTTGATGTACGCTTAATTTCTTCAATTTTTAAACATTATATCCTCCTTTTCTTTAGCGTAGATAATGAAAAATTAATATTGAAGCTTTATATACTCTCCAAAATCTAGCAAATAACTGTATAAGAAACAGTTTTTAATTGATCAATAGACTGTGACTGTCCATAGGATTTAAAACAATCTAGGTCAAATGTTTAATAACTGCACATAGATGATACTACAGTTTTACTAATATCCTGGGACAAATTAAATATAATTAGTGGATTCGATAATTTCGTTTCCTTTCTCGATGCAAATTGAAGAAAGTTTCATACATTATATCCCGAATTTTCTAGAATGAGCAATTTATTTCTGGATTTTATTTAACTAATATTCTTATTTAATTAGTTGTAAGTAGTATTATTTGCATACAGATAAGACTTTACTGTGCGTTCTGGAAAGATACCTTTTTTTACTCATTTTTTTTAGTAGATGACAATGGTGTTGCAAATTTATAGAATTACTATATACAGGGTGTTTATTAATTGAATGCCGATACTTAAGGGTGTGAATCCTTGAGTCATTTTAAGAAGAAAACTTAATATCAACATATGTCCNTGACAGGTACATTCTTTTTACCGATGAAGCTAGTTTTTCTCGAAACTCAATACGAAATTTCCATAATAACCATTTGTGGGCGGATGAAAACCCTTTTGCAATTGTTGAATCAAAGTTACGAAGAAAAGTTACGAAATCGTATAATAGTATGCTGCCAAACCATAAGACACAAGGAATTTTTGAAAATGTACGTCAGTCTATGCGAAAAAGAGTAGATGCTTGCATACGTGTGGGTGGAGGACACTTTCAACAACTATTGTAAATACATAATAAATACATTATGACACTTTACCCAGCCTACCAATTTTTATTTCATTTGATTTAGGGGGGCATTTAATGAGCTTACCGTTTTTTCTATCCAAACATTTATTATGCCTACGTGAACGTCATTTGTGAAAGTAGAAAATTAATTTTTGCCCCACAAAAAGTGTTTCCACGCATGGTGGGTGTCTACAAAATGGCAACAAAATATCAAAAGCAGTCTCAATGAACTTGGGGAAAAACTTTTTTTGGTTTTCATTTTTTTACGTACAAATGGTGCGTCGTACGAGAGTAAGTCTAGGGACCGAATTTGCTGTAAAATAAATGGAGATTTTAAAAATAATTTTAGGTTTTAGAAAAAGCAGTGGCGTACCATTTTTTTCTTCAAAAATGTTTAGTTCAAACCTCGTACGGACGTCATTGGCAAAGATTTTAAAACATTTTGACATCAAACAATGCTCCTTAATGATTAATAGGTGTGTACAAAATTTCATAAAAATATCTGGAGTGATAAGAAAATTATAATAAAAAAGTACATTTTTTCTTAAAACTATAACACCCTGCAGCTCAAAAATTAAGATGTTTAGGACAAATGTTGATATTAATTTTTCTTCTTAAAATGTCCCAAGGATTCACAACCTTAAGTATCGGCATTCAATTAATAAACACCCTGTATACTTAAAATATTTCGATTATAAAAAATAATCTGTTAGAGAATCAATATGGCCATAATGTGATATATTTTTCAATTATAAAAAAGGAGACAATTGTCATAGAGAAATAAACGTGACATTCTCAAACAGATTTTGAAAAAGGATAAAATTTTGATAACAGTATCGGAGTTAGTGTACCGAAATCTATAATAAATACGTGTGCTACTAATCATCACTTTCATTTTGAAATCTCGTGTTGCTGCAGACGGGTAGTTTGTATGTGTACACGAAAAATGGTGAGCCATTGAGAAATTGATTTAAAAATTATATTCGTTAAAAATAGTTCTAATCTATGTTGTTAAATTGTTAACAATCTTTGTCTAATCTGGATCTAATCTAGATATGGATCTAATTCAATGTATTATATACATAGTAAGTTTATAAATATAGATAGAGAATGATATACGCCGAAAACATTGCCAAAAAAACGCATACTTTCCTAAAATATTGTTTACAAATTTAAGGATATCTATAATTTGTTGGCAATAGTTTCACAACTGTAAAAACAAAGTCACAAAGTGAATGTCGAAATTTCACACAACTTTGTGACCAGTTGTATTATAATTAATAGTGTGAATTTTCGTAGCATTTTTTTTCGTGTAATTTAGTTATTATAACGATCAAACATTGATTTCTTGTACTCCTGTTTACTGGTTTTACTTATCTTGACTTTTGTAAGTTTTTGAAATATTGTTATTTCTCCACATTCCGTAACGCTATAATAGCACTAATATCGTACAATATTATTATAACCAAATTTATTAAATTTTCAGATTTCTAAATAATCGACATCTCTATTTTCTATGTTATGTTTTACCATCAATTCAAAGGGTTGAGAATGTAGAATAGGTGTTTTCGTGTCATGTAATATAGGTAATTTCTAAATCAATTTTACTCCCAAACTGTGCCAACTCCCAACCTATCGAAATGATTCAAAAGACAATTTTTACTGTAAAATTGCCTATACTATAATTTCATTTTTTTTTAAATCAAACTGTGCGAAGGTTACACACCAACTAGTTGGAACATAATTTAGAGAAAATGCTCCAAGTTTAAATCGCCTCTGACTAAAATTTAGATATTATTTCTTGACCATTGGAATGAAAATTTGATATTATCATCAAATTTTAAATTTAATTATTTTATCCTAAACGGTTTCGTAGAAAAAAAGGGAATTATTTTATGCCCACCCAAACTTTTTTCTTATTTTTAGTCGAAGAATGCACCGACAAAATATTCGGGTAGGGTACCATCAAATAATTTATCTCTCTCTTTCTTTATCTAAGCTTTAGTTCGATTACTGTGATGTAGATTACAAAATCAATTAAAAGATAAAGAAAACAAAATCCTATGCTACTAGTGTATATTTAGAGATTTTCAGTAATCTGCTCTATCCATGGAAACTGCTTTTCACAATTTTTGGAAATCAGAGGTTTGCATGCACTTACAATGGCGAATCCCCACTTGACCATTTTCGAGCCGTTCTCGTCTAGCACCGGTAAAAATCACAGAGAATTCCTGTCAACACACCGCAACAGAATTAATAGCACCAGCGAACACCGATAGAACGTTCCGTGCGCTTATTAGACACGATCGCCAAGAACTGTTGGCCGGACTTGATTACCGTGTAGATACACCTGAAGCAGTCGTTACGAGTAACGGTATCCGCATAGTTCCATCTGCCCATTAGTGAGGTTGCAAGCGCCAGATTGCTGCAGTCGACGGCCTCTTCGTCACGGAAGCGTTCCGCTGCTGCTCCTTTCAGTTATCAGTTTTTGAAGCGATTGTATTCAGATGAGTTTCCAGTAGCATTAGATATTATCTAAATCCCACTTTATTAGCTGAAAGGTACATAGGCAATTTGAATCTCTTTACAATGCTTTTTTTAGACCTCTTCTAAATCTTGTAGGAGTTTAAGATACTTTTATGAGAAAAAGTCACAAATTATTTGTAAAACTCAAGAAAAAGCATCTGGGTTCCCAAACAATGGACAAATGCACGATGAAGAGCTTTTTATTGCCAATGTCTGAATATGTAAAATTAAAATATCATTTATGTAGGTTAAAGTAAGGTCAAAATTGGGATGTAGGTATTAGCAGAATCTCACAGTTTCTAAAATAAAATAAAGTAGTCATTTGTTTGACTGTGATTGAGAATGAAAAAAATTTGAAACACACCTAGTTCTATTTTTTGTTTACAAATACAGTCTTGATTATACCTCGATAACAGGGTTTAGAGTTTATGATGTAGAGGTTTAGGGTTTACGATTATTTATATGAAAGAGTAATGTCTTCGATCATCCACGTGTCCTAAGATTAGCCCTGATTAGTCTGTATATTGTACTAACTACTAGCATCAATGAATTGCGACAAGCTGGAGAATAATAAATTGAATTATAATAATATTTTAAATAGGTACTCAGGGTGTCCGGAAATTAGGAGCAAATATTCCGGGGGGTAATTCTACGGCAAAAAGTAGGACGAAAAGTTCATATAAACATAGGTCGATCAGTGGACTCTAACGGAGCTAGTGCCTCTTAAAGGATCGGCCCTGAAGATGACTTTTGTTGAATATTGTCGAAACGGTCCTAGACAAATTAATGAAATTTTTAACACTTAATCAACTTTTTATGCTGAATTCGAAAATGTACACGAAATTTATCCATTTTATTCAGGAGTGTGTTAAACAGGATCAACCTAGGATTCTAGCCCTAACTTTTTTGGTAGAAATTATTTTTATAATAGACTTTTTTAGTGTGACGTCAGATATTTAGGCAACCCGCAACAAATTGTCATAGTTGAAATTGCACAGACCGAATTTGACCTTTGTGTACTATTTACATAGATACTATAAAAATAAACAACTTAAAATTAATTTATTTTTACAAGGATTCGGAAGTATTTAAGAGCAACCAACACGTGTTTCGTAAAATATGTAGATACCTACACTAATGTGCTTAAAACTTACGTTATAAAAGAATATTCCTAAATTTAAATAAAGTAAAAATTTGACATTAGCCTTGTTATTCCTAATGCTCATTCTCGGAAAGAATAGCCTCATACACAGGTGAGCTCTTGTTGATATGTTATCGCTGTCATTCATCATTTTTCTTGTTTTGTTTAATTTTGCCATTTTCTAGTTCTACTAAGTATTGTTCTTGTTTTTCTTCGTGTTGTACTGTGTCAGCGCGTTTATCGTGTGTTTTTTCTTCAAGTGGTTTATTATAGACGTACTTTTAACCATAACCAAACTTTCCTTGTATGATATCCTGTTGCGAGGCTACTTCGCTTACATGAAATTATTGAAATTATCTTTAATGCGCATACTCAGTAACTTTGATATAATTTTAATTTATTAATTACTATAAAAGTCAATATTGTTCTATAAATTTAAATATAAAAAAATCTATAATTCTATTAGTTTGTCACTTGGGGAAACTTCTTAAATATTTCTAATATTGCAGGGATATCGCAATATTTAAGGTCTTGACAAAGAAGCCATTTTTTGGCACATGTCCAAAGTACATAGGGTCGAAAATCGATCTAGTAAAAATATTGAGAAATTCTTCATGACAATGTGCACTACGGGGTTGCCTATAATTTGGCGTATGTGACGTCACTACTAAAAAGATCTATTGGACCACAGTAAATTCAAAATGTAATGCTTTTTGTATTAAAAAGATAGGTACTCTCGTTCAACTTCTATAAAATATACCGTTTTCGAGTAAAATAGACTAAATAATACATGCAAATTGTACGTAACGTACACATTTTATTTTCCTTAACGCCTCGTATCTAATTGTTCCATGGTATGCCAAATTTTCATGGAAAAGGATGCACGAAGCTATATTTAACACATCAGGTTCTTTTGCAGAGCAGTTAAGAACTGATTTATTTGTGCAGTATATTATATATGTTAATATTTTGATTAAATTTATGATTTTAACTGTTCGAGAATTATGTGCATGTTCTGTGCTAATTTGTGCTGTATATTATAAATTGTGTGCTCATTTTCTCATATAGTTTATAAATTTTATGCAACCTGTCATGGCAGCAATTTGCATATATGAATAATAATATATTGTAACCATTCATATTATAATACATGATTAAAAATTATGTATATGTGTAGCATACTTATGTAAATTTATAAAAATTTTGGAAATATTTCGAAACTAAAACTACACAGAGTGTTATACGAGAACTGTACTAGGTGACTACGAAATGATCTCTTAATAAAAATTCTGGGTTTAAATTTGTGGATATACCTAACTTTGAATTTTCACAAAAATCTATTTTTGGTTATATCTAATCAATAATCATTATTTATATTAATCATCATTTTTTGTGGGAATCAATTTATTTTTGGTGTACACCAAGGAATATTCCCGTTTATCTGCAGACTTTCAGAAAGTACATGAACGAATAAAAAATATTAAGCATTTGTTTTTTTCTTGCCACACTTTGCTAGGTTCTGTGGGGTGATAAAAATTATGGGAATTCATATAGGACATATTTGTATACACATAAAATATATATAAATTGAATATACACGATACATAGTGTAGAATTACACTTTTCAGTACCTTTTATGTAGTACTTCTACATTTTAAAATGTGTAATCCTAATCCTTTATGTATTTTTTTTATATTTGATTTACGATTAAAAGTGTGATATTACATGACTGGATTTGGCTCAACCAATCATATTAATCTTGTGATCACCCAGTGTGTTTTTACTGAGCGTGTGTAGAAAATTGTGCTAGTTGTTCAGTAGGCATTAATTTGTGGCGTAATAATATAGCACAGAGTTTTAACTACCTAAAAATATTTGTCATAAATAAATATTGGAGCAAATAAATAATATGACTTGAGCAAATTATATAAATCTATATTTTCTCGTATTGAGAAATACCCATATTCAACTTTTCTTAATCTTACACACAGTTGATGTATGTAGCTTACCATTTAAGACCTATTTTACTTATTGTTTTACTTACACCATATTTTGTTTAAAGTTTAGTGTTCTCAATAATTGGTTATTGCTCTCGAAATGGTTCAAAGATTCCACCTCAAAATTCACCTGGACGCGAGAACGAGAACTAGGGCAAAATTTTTATCCCGAAAAATTCTTCGTATGAATGGAAATCGTAATAAAATTTTTCCCAAAAAATACAAAATTATACCTCATTTCTTAAAATTAGAAATGACGTACTCCGTCTTTTAAAAAGTTATCTATATTTTCGGACAAATACCATTAAATCTGCCTGTTTTTTTTTTTGGAGAAATATTGTCAAGTCTAAATACCATAATTTCTCAAGGCGAACCTTATGTATACTTTATAGTATCGATTTTCGATCTTCATTAACTTTCTAACACTATAGATAATGATAATATAGTCAACATGCATAAATTTTGCTGCAGGAACCTTACAGAAGATAAATTTGTACCTTTTATTCTTAACTGAAATAGTGTACGATGTATCACATTGCAGAACCTAAGGCATTCATATTATTAACCTACAACTGAGGACAAAACCTACATTGTTTAATGTGACACCCACAAGTTTAACAAATATGGGGACATATTTAAATTTTAGGCTGTAAGTAGGTACAGGTCAAACAATAATAGGTATGCGTAACTTCGAAGGTTTATGCCAACCGGTTTCCTGTACATGTGAAATTAAGGTTTTTTTCATTAAGAAAGATTTTAGTTCAGCTGAGATCACATTGTAAAATTTTTTTGAGAATGAGAAAATAATATGTTGATACATGATATGATATACAATAATATACAGAATTATAGAAATGTGTGTTTCTGCTAATATCGGAAATGGTAAAGCTCGCATCACAAAAAGAATGAATGATTTTCGTTCAGATTTTATATTGTTCAAATAATTATTTGTTCTTTTTTGTTTTATTAAATTTTTGTAAATTGATTATCAGTAGCTCCTTCCCAGGGACTGTAACTTTAAATGTACTGTAACTGTATTTTTTTTTAAATTCAATTTGTATACATTTTCTAGGAAATTTGGAACAAGAACATCTGAAAGGTACTCACATATGTGTTGAAACTTTTTATAAAGAATCACTAAAGTGCTTTCTCTAATTTTAGAGATACAAAAACAATCACAGAAAGTTTTGCCTCATATCCAAACATTCAGAAGGAGCAATATTTTGTGCTATCTAATATTTAAAATATATCTCACAAATAATATGTCTCTGGCCTTAGGTCTTATTTAACGTGGACACGCATTGCAAACAATTTGAACAGAATTTGCTCATTAAATCACTAACGACATTTATACCCAGAGCCGGATTAACAGTGTTTTTGGCCCTGAGGCGCAAGGGTTTGGCGGGCCCCCTATATAGGATAGAAATCGAGAGTGGGGTGCGGGGTGGGGTTTGTCACCCAGAAAATATTTGGAAAATGACTGCTTTAATAGTATTTTTGCAGCTTCCGACAACACAGCCACACAAAAAAGAAGTTGTCTGTACTTTTCGTGCGACATATGTTATCCGTAGTATTTTTGCCTCCTGATCACGAATCCGGTGTCAGAATTGAGCTATCACATCACAGGAATTTCCTAACA